GGGGAGGAGGAGGAGGAGGGGGAGGAGGACCACTGTAAGTAAACCCAAAAGTCACCAACGATGTTGGAGTAAACCCTCCCCCAAGCTCCCTCTTCATGGGCCCCTACAACGGTTCATTTCCACAGAAGGACCTGCCTCGTTGGAAGACAACCGTTTGAAGATCCTGAAGCATGCCAAAACATTATTATCGGTATTCCAACGTCACGGGTGAACCTTACTGTACTGTTGCGTCTTGACGATCCTGCATCGTGCCAGAACGCCATTCCTGGACGTCAACTCCGCGAATCATCGTAACTGGTGCGCCCTCAAAATCGTGACTCCTTTCAAAGCATAATTTCTGGTACGTCGATCATGGGAATCCGTGAAACTCTTGCAACTGTTTAACAAGAGTGCGCACGGCGCTAAGGCGAGAGCCACATTTTGAAAACGATCCGATTTCAATCCGTGAAACCCTTGCAATGTTTTAAAACGAATGTGCGCGGAGCTAAGGCGAGAGCCACATTTTGAAAACGACCCGCCCTCAGTCCGTGAAACTCTTTCACATTTTGAATACGAATGTGCGCGGCGTTCAGGCGAGAGCTACATGTTGAAAACCACCCGCCCTCAATACGTGAAATTCTTGCATTGAAAACGAATGTGCGCGGCGCTGCGGCGATAGCCACATTTTGAAAACGACCCGCCCTCAATCCGTGAAGCTCTTGCAATTTGTTTAAACGAATGTGCGTGGCGCTGAGGCGCGAGCCACATTTTGAAAACGGCCCGCCCTCAATCCGTGCAACCCTTTCAAACTTTGAAAACGAATGTGCGCGGCGCTGAGGCGAGAGCCACATGTTGAAAACCACCCGCCCTCCATCTGTGAAACTGTTACAAAGTTTGAAGCTTCAGGGCCCAGGGTCATAAATGCTGAGGAAGTTTCAGGCGAAACGACCTGCCCGCCCTAAAAACTGGCCTCGGGGTGCGACAGGGAGAAATTATTTATAAGGAGAAGAAATGGAGGAGAAGGAGGAGGAACAAAAAAAGGGAGGAGGAGGAGAAGAAATACGATGGTTTTGCGTTCGAGGTTCGGTGTCGTGCGTTCAAGCTTCGAGGTTTTTGGGTGTTTTCGTTAGTTTTCGGCGGCTTCCAGCCTTTAGATGCCTTCCAGCGGCTGCGCCTCGCCGAGCGCATTCCGGGGGTGCTTGGAGCGCCCCGAACGGCCGCCGGAGGCGCCAGTCAGGATGGCGGAGTTGTGTCTTTGGGGTCAGGAGAGGGGCGAAAGGCTTCCCCGTAAGCCTCAGTCGGCCCTTCTCTGCTACTCCCAGCGCTGCTCTGTCAGGCGTCCTGGCGCCAGGGGGGTGCGGCGCAGGGAGTGTGAGCGGTCTGCTTGCACCGAGCTCACGCTTCGATTTCTTCGGAGTCGTTCGCATGGCGCTTTGCGAGCCCACGCCGGAGCAGAGGCCAGGGGCTGCCCTGTGTCTGGCCGACGCTCGGCGACGGGGGCCCTTCTTCCATGAGGGCGCGGACCCTGCGGTGGGCCTGGCGCTCCTGGCGGCGGCCGCGCTCGATGGGGAGGAGGCCGATACGGGTGAGCCGCCCGAGAGTGCGATGGCCAGAGATCCGAGGGTGTGATTTTTGTCAGTCCGGTGTTTTTTGTGGATTTTGGCGTCCGGGGCCCGCTATCGGGCCCCAGGGGCCACAAACATAGATCCAGGTCGAAAAAAACACCCCCAGGGAAGGGGTCGGGACCTCTGGGGCCGCTGATTGAAAAATCAGATCGGCGGATGTCTGAGTGGTGCCGATCCCTCCTATGGAGCTTGGCTGCTTCGCCGAGCGTGGTCCTCAAATTATGCATGTTTGGCACGCGCAAATCTGCCGCTGCTGCGCATCCCTCTCGACACAGCTGCGTGCAGGCCCGAAGTGTAAGCTTCGCCCAGTGTGCCGTGGTTTCTTCAAGGAGGAGCGCCGCAAGAGGGCGCAGCTGGCTGCGCTGGCCAAGGTGCGTGCTGGTTTCCACCCCAAGGCGGATACCCCGCTCGTTTCTCCCTCCCTCTCCTCTCCTCCTGATGGTCCCGCCTGCTCGTTGTAGTCCAAGTATGTTGTTGTGTCGGGGCGCTTCTGGCCGCAGGGATACCTCCGTGCTGCGTGCCTGAGGAGCGCTGGGCCCCCCGTTGCGGGAAAGCACCGCGTTCAATGCGCACTCAAGGCACCAGAGCAAGTTTTTACTTGTCTCGAACCTGGCACACTCTGACTCGTGTTCCTGATGAGCCCTCCGCCCCTTTCTCCTCCTTCTCCTCCTCCTCCTCCTCCTCCTCCTCCGCCTAATTACGTGGGTGCGCCCTCCCCATGGGGGACTCGACTCGCCACTCTGACTCGTGTTCCCGATGAGCCCTCCGCCCCTTTCTCCTTCTCCTTCTCCTCTTCCTCCTCCTCCTCCTCCTCCTCCTCCTCCTCCGTCCTCATCCTCCTCCTCCTCCTCCACCTCTCCCCCTCCCTCGTCCTCCTCTCCTTCCCCTCCTCGTCCTCCTTCCTCCTCTCCTCCTCTCCTTCCCTTCTCCTCCGTCTCCTCCTCCCTCTCCTCCTCCTCCTCCTCCTCCTCCTCCTCCTCCTCTCCTCCTCCTCCTCTCCTCCTCCTCCTCCCCCCTTCTCCTCCTCCTCCTCCTCCTCCTCCTCCTCCTCCTCCTTCTCCTCCTCCT